AAAGCATATTAACTTAATTTAATACTTTGTGGGATATCCTTTATTGAGTTCAAAAGCTACCAGTCTATTCCTGTATGTCTCAACTAATGATTTGCACACAATTGAGTGGTATTTTGTCCCATTCTTCTTGGCATATTGTCTTCAAATTCTTGATATTTGTTGGTGCTCTTTTCCCAATTTGAATTTTCAAATATTGCCATAAATTCTCAATTGGGTTCAAGTCTGGGGACTGACTTGGCCATTGCAAGACATCAACGTTACTTTCAGCTAACCATTTCCTTGTAGATCTAGCGGTATGCTAAGGATCATTATCCAGTTGGAAAACCCAATCAGGAGGTAGACGAAGTCTCTCAACAGAACGCATTAAATTATCTTGCAGGATTTTCTGACATCTTTCGGCATTCATCTTGCCATCTATTATTGATATTCTGCGAACACCTTTTGCTGAAAAACAGCCCCATATCATGATACTGCCACCACCAAACTTTACAGTTGGCAACGTGTTCTTTGGTCAGTAGGCTTCACCGTCCTTCCTCCACACATGATTTCGATAATTATGACCAAACAACTCTATTTTAGTTTCATCTGTCCATAGTACTTTTTCCCAAAATGAATATTCTTTATCCTTATGCTCTCTAACGAATTTTAGCCTAGCATCTCTGTGTTGTTTCAAGAGGAGTGGAGTCTTCCTTGGGATGTGTGCTTTCAGACTGTTTTTGTTTAGTTCATTACTTATTGTACGCTTGGTAACTTTAATCCCTAATGCATGCAGATGTTCCTGCAGCTCTTCTCAGGTAACCTGTGGATTTTGTTAGATCTGGCGTCCTAATATCCTTGCTGATCTTAGAGAAATCTTCCTCGAAACACCTGTTCGTCTTTGGTTTTCGACGCTGTTACAAGTTTTAAACCTTGCAATGAACAAAGCAATTGTAGTAAAAGGAATATTCATGTTGTTAGAAATCGTTCTGTAACTGTTCCCATCTTTCCAAAGAGACAAAATGTGTTGTTTTTGTGAAATAGTCAATTCTTTACCTTTAGGCATTATTAGAACCTTCTCATAAGACTAGAAATTGCAGAATGCTCTGATAATGGCTAATAGCGTTAACTATAATTACTGATTACATTACTGGAACATTCTAGAATATACTTTTTTCATAATTAATTGATTATTTTAGTCTAATAATTGATTTGTACGAATACTTTTTTCACCAGTTAGAATTAAAAAAATGCATTAATTTCTGTTAGAATAAGAATTAATTAAACTTATTATTTTTTAATAGTATGTGTCTTTATACATAAAATGTGCCGAGATTTGTTTTATTTAAGGCTTTTACATTTATAAAAATACAATTTTTCAAGTGTACGAATATTTATTTCCCCCCACTGTATATAAAAAATCTACATGTCACACCTCACTTACATGACAACACTCTTTGCCTACATCACAAGATTTATTAACACTCACTAGTACGACGATGATGACTTAAAATCAAAAGCTTGGACCATATTTCCAGTACTTTTCTTCTGAAATGAATTTTCAACAATTTCTGATGGTATTTCCTACTTAAGAAGGATTTGTAATTTGGAAAAGTAGCCCAGTAAAATTAATTGACATGTTGTTTTTAATAGTATTTGCTTTAACACTGAGTCCTGGCCACTGTTTTAGCATTGGTAGATAAAAATGACATAATGCCCAGTCATCGGTTGAACACTTGTAGAGAAAAATGACTCAATGCTCAGCTACCAGTTGAATAGTGGATAAACAAATGGAACTATTTTTATATCTACTGTGAAACATCACATACCAATTATTTGCAAATTTTGACTCAGGAGCTCAGGCAGAAGTCTTTTAAATTATTCGGGAATGCAGAGCTTAAAGGGTTAAAGAACATCTACTGTCTAAATACATATAATATATATATTTTATTACTTCTTAGTGGATACCAATATTTGAGCAGATGCTCTGTTTATTTTTTAAATAGTACATTTATTCATTATCATCTGCTGGTCTAAATATTTGACAAATCTTATTAGAAAAGTATGTGCTCTCAAGCAATATTCAAACCTGCATTCCCTGAGGATATATATATATATATATATATATATTTTTAACATACAACGTGTGTTGGCACGTGCGATACCCTGTCTTCATCAGCCGCCGACCAGGGGTGATATCACGGTTTCGGTGGCTATGGCGGGACTGCCACCCCTGGCGCCACCAGCAGCATTTGCCAGCAAACAGGGTATGAAGATAAGCTAATTAATCGTTCATTTAAGTAAAATCTATCTCCAATGAAATATATATATAATTATTTATTCGAAAATTATAACATAAACATGACCAGTTGCCATCCAAGGCTGTCCTGCTATTTACCCATATCTGGAGGAGAAGAAGAGAATTTACACCTTTCCCAAGGGTATTAGCACACAAGTGAATGTAACTGTATTTGACTGGATTTCAAACTCTGCTCTCTGATTCCTCAAACCAAGCTGCTATCCATTACTCCCGTGCCTCACATATATATATATATATATATATATATATATATATATATATATATATATATATATATATATGTATACTTTAAAAATTAGGAGATCAGGAAATTCGCTACTTTGGTTTCAACCCTACAGTATACTCAGGTGATTTTTATCAATTGACCTCTCAATGATTTATTCTTAAAAAGTAAGAAGGGGGAAAGAAGGATATTATAAATGAATCAGTGTGGATGATGGTAATTGAAATATACATTTTTTTTTAACCTGCCAAATATATGCTTAAGAGGAATTTTTTAGTATGTATGCAAGGACTCATGACTCCGAATTTCTGGTTCAAATGGTTCTTTGGTTCCAGAAATGTCATTATTACTAATTTTTCCTGTTGGCTGAAGTTGCAAATATTATTGTAGTTGTTATAAGGCTTTGTCTTTTTTAAATTTTTCCAGCTTACAATCGGATCCTTGTTGTTTTTTCTTTTAAATTCCACACATGGTCAGCTAGTTTGGTAGAGCACCTAAGACTTACTAGCGTGAATGACGACCTATAATTGTAGCATTTATATTTGAAAGTACCTATTTTAATATATTTTCTGTTTATATATTTTTATGGATGCACTTATTTCCGTAAATGCTATGCTTTTAAATTAAAGAGTAATAATTAAATCTATTGACCTGAATATTTAAGAAATTTTGTAGAAAATATGCGTCCTCTGAAAGGAATTGAACCTGTATCCTCTACAGAATTGCCATTTAGCCTGATACACTACAACCATTCAGCCACAAAGAACTTCCAGTTTAGCAAAGCTCAAATTTCAGAAATTTGGCAACATCACATTGTATTGTTGTTCGCACCAGAAACTCCAGTATTACCATTCAGCATGACTGAGTGTCAATCTGTGGACAGTGCAGAGTCTAGTGGTGATTATGAAGGTGTGTGTAGTGATCACTAGTGATGGCAATATTATACCTCCATTCATCTTCCCACAGAGCCTCATACTCAACATGGAGACTACAAGTGCCTTGAGGAGGTAGTGCAACTTTGGATCAAGAGGGTGTCTGCTGGAAGACCCTATGTCTGGCAACAGGATTCTGAACCATGCCACACAAACAGGAGAACCCAGTCATGGCTTTCAAACAATTTCTGCAACCACATCACTCCTTATATCCTGCCACCTAACACAACAGACTGCAACACCCTTGATTATTATGTGTGGGGCGCAATTGAGCGAAAGACCAACAAAATATATTGTAATACCAAAAATGAACTGAAGTTAAGGATTATGGCAGCATTCACCAACTTAAACAAGGAAACCATCCAGAAGAGTTGCAAGAAATTCTGAAGTTTTCTGGAGCCAAGAGCGGTTGAAGTTTTCTGGAGCCAAGAGCGGTTGAAGCCAAGAGTAATTTTATTGAATAAATTTACTCTTTAGTATTTCAATATATTTTTGTGTAATTTTGGTGTATATATCTGTTAAAATAAGATGTTAGTGTTATTTTTATTTTTGTATAATTTAGATGATAATTTATCGCTCACACCCTGTATATTGTTTTAAAATTAGCAATTGCATATATATGAGTGTCCATCATTAATATAATGGTTTAGAAGTTACTTTATTAAATCATGATAACTTATGATTTCAATCCTCATTGGGTACTACTCACACATATAACCTTGGGCGAAACTAAGTCCAGTTCATTAAGCATCAACAGATGTGTGCACACACACACATTGGTGCATGCACATACACACATACACAGGTAGATATTCTTACATGAAATAAATTTACAGGTAAATATTTGAGATTTTCAGAGCTGTAATGATGTTCTGATCGTCATTAAGGTAATTTACAATTAGTCATTTGTATTTTTTACTCATTAACTAACTTGGTGCAAGGACTATAGTGCACATGCACTTTTGCTCGATCTACTGCAGTCCTACTGTTGTCACACTGACCAATTCCTTCATTTTTTTCTCTGAAAGTGTCTCTCCCAAGATCTGATGTTTAAAATGAAAATTGAAAGAAAGAAAAGAAAGAAAGAAAGAAAGACAGAAAGAAAGAAAGAAAGAATTATTCAAAATTAAATGGACAAAAAGATGAAGAAGATAAGAAAATGTAGGGAGTGTGAAAGAAAGAAAGAAAGAAAGAAAGAAAGAAAGAAAGAAAGAAAGAAAGAAAGAAAGAAAGAAAGAAAATGAAAGTCTAGATAGAATATGAGAAAAATAAATGGAAAGAAAGAAAGAAAGAAAGAAAGAAAGAAAGAAAAAAAGAAAGAAAGAAAGAAAGAAACAGACAACAGAAATAGAAGAAAAAGTAGTGATGAGAAAAATAAGTGGAAAGAAAGACGTGTAGGTGGCATATGAGAAAAATCAATGGAAAAAGAAAGAAAGAATATGACAACAGAATGAATAAAAAAGTATAAAAAGAAGCAAAAAGTTGTAAAAGAAAAATTTGGAAAAAAACAATATTATTTTGGAAAATAGAGAAAGGATAAATAATTGTATCACAAAAAAAAGAAAGAAAGAGAAATGGAAAACGGGAGAAAAATGAATAAGATAGATAGATAGATAGATAGATAGATAGATAGATAGATAGATAGATAGATAATGAACAGCCTGAAGTAGATAGATAGATAGATAGATAGATAGATAGATAGATAGATAGATAGATAGATAGATAGATAGATAGATAGATAGATCAAAAAATGATAGGAAAATGAATGAAAGAAAAATGGTTGAAGTAAAGTAACGTTCACTTGCTGTCACTGAATATAGCATCTGAGGAAAAAAAATGATAAGGTTTGAAAAATCCTTAATTTCCATAGTAATTATTACTTGTTACTGGAGAAAATATATTTGGAGATACCACTGTAATCCTGCTGCAATACTACTTCTACCACTACCGCTGCAATTCCACTGCAACTCTACTGCCATAACTCATACTACAACTGGTACCACTACAGCCGCTACTATTTCTGCTACTTCGATAATGTAATGCTTCTGAAACCTTTTTAGTGAGAAGGAAAGAAAGGAAAGAAAAGAGGAAGATAAATAGATATTCAATTGAAATGAAGGAAGAAAAGAGAGTAAATTAAAGAGAGTGGGTAGAGAAAGATAGGATAAAAGATAACAAAGAGAAATGGAAAAAGAGGAAGAGTAAATTATGAGAAAGAAAGAAAGGAAAAGATATTGTAATGTAAACTGGAAGAGGATGAGGAAGAAAAGTAGTGGGATGGTAAACGGTGGGTGGTGAACAGAATGAGAAAGGGGGAAGGAAAAGAAAAAGAGTGGGTAAAACAAAGAGTGGGAAGGGAAAGGAGGAAGAAAATAAAGTAAGTAAAGAGAAAATACATGGAATCATTGAAAGAGAGATGAATGATACCTTTGAGAAAGACTGAGTGTCAGAGTCGAGGAGAAGAGAGCGAGAAAAAAAAAAAAAACAGAAAAGAAAGAACATTCCGAAACAGAGAGAGGGTAAATAAAGAAAGAGGGTCGAAGAAAGAGGAAATGAGACAGACAAACAGACAGACAGACAGGCAGAAAAAAAGAGAGCGTGACAGGTGAGAAGGAGAAAAAGACAAAGAAATGATCAAAGATGATTCGGGGAAGACGATAGTGAGAAAATAGAAATACAATCTCCTCAGGAGATACCATATCTCTGAGAGAGAGAGAGAGAGAGAGAGGGGGGGAGAGAGAGAAAGAGAGGGATAGGCAGATATAGAGATAAAATGAAAGAGATAAAAATAAATGCAATAAAAAAAGATGAATGAAATTAAAATGGGGAGGAGTGAAGAAAGTGAAAAAGGAAGACGAATAATAAAAAAAAAGAGACGGTAGTAAAGTTAAATAAAGCAAATGAAATGCAAAGAGAGGGGAAAACCGATAAAGGTAGAGAGAAGGAAAGGAGAGAAAATGGATAGCTAGAAGGAGGGGGAGAGGATTAAATAGATAGAGTGAAAGTAACAAAGGGAGAAGGTGAAAGCGGGCACACACGCGCATGCTCTGGTGCGCGGCCGCTACACAACACATTAAGAGGAAGGAGGTCGGGCCGACTAAGAAAGACTTTACCTCGCGTACCTCGTTTTGTTTTGTTTCGTTTTCTGTTTTTCTTTTCTTTTTTTTTAAACGAAAACATCAAGGCTTCCTTTCTCCTTTGATCTACTCCATTTTAAAACCCGCGAAACAAAACAAAACCCGTAAACATTTCGGATTTTACTCTTATTATCATCGTCTGGATGTCACTATCGCGGCCGGAGGACGACGAAGAAGACGACAACGAAAGCTGTTGTTGTGTAAAGAAAAAAAAGAAGAAGGCGGAGGCCTTTAGTCGAGCCATGGATGAGATCGAAGGCATCGTTTGAAGGAATCTCTCTCTTCTTTTTTAAACACACAAGTCCCCCTTCCCAGACCGTTTATCCCCATTTTTATTTTTCCTTTCCCCCAGAGATAATCACCACTTAAAAACGGACGGATGGCTCACAATGGTCAGTTGTGTGGTCATTTATGTGGTCTAGTGTCTTGCTGCTGCTATTGTAATTTTTACTGCAGATGATGTTGTTGGAGTGGCCTGTAGGGGCCAGAAGTCGGGGGACCCACTCTACAAACTGTCCCTCATCTTTTTTGGTCCCACCTTCTTCACTTGTCTTGGTCTTACTACTTTTGCTGTTGGGTCCTTGTTCGGATTCTGGTGGTATACGAATTGTTCAAGGTAAGTAATTAAAATAAAAAAAAAATGATTATTATAAAATATATAAACTCATTGATCTATCTATCGATCTATTGATTGATCGATAAAAGGACGAAATTTATTTTAAACTTATTTAATTACAAGACTCAGTTGTTGAGCAATGTAATCATCTTGTTTAAAAAATGAATGTGATATATTTTTTTTCTGTGTGTACAACACTACCAACGGATACCATCAACAAATAAATTCTAATTCTTTTTTTTTTCTTTTCTAAATAATGACAACGCTTTCAAGAAAGTTGATCTAATTTATTTATTTGATTTCCTTGTTTTCAAAGAAAGGGTCTTCTTCCTGGTTTTTGCTTAAAAAAAAAACGGACTCAGATCCTCTTCCCACAAAAAACAAAAAAACAAAAAAACGAAACCCGATTTCCTCACCCGATCAATTTTCGTTTCATTCATTCAGTCGCTCTCACCCTCAAGAACACTGACACAGCAACAACATATCAATTTTCTTCTCTTCCTTTTAATTCTTAATAATAATAATAATAATAATAATAATAATAATACCTTTATATATATATATATGGTTGTCAGTCTTACTCTTATAACTACAACTACGATTTTTAACTTGAAAATGATTGGCAATCATTGATTACACTGGGTTTGCCGTTTCATTCACTACTAATTGTTGCTTGTCCTCTTGATTTTAAAGGGGAAAAAACCTGCTATCCTTAGGAAAAAGGATTGATGGGGTTTATTTTATTTAGTGCATTTATTTAAACAGAATATTCGTTGCTTGTCGTTTTTATGTCGGCAATTAATTTTCCTGAAATATAGTTTTTTTTTGGCTAGAGTTTGTCTTTTAAAAACGTTACAAGAAGCCATATCGCTTCTTCATGTCTTTTATTCACGCTGTAATTTTTAAAATTTTAAATAATATTATTAATTAGTAAGACACTAACACTAACAGTGACTCTTCACTTCGTAGAAGGCTTAGTGCCCGCCCTGTGGGTGTATAAAATAATTGAATGTTTCTTTTTTTTTTTCTTAAAAAAAAATCCTTTTATTTTCAAATAAAATAATTTCATTAATGAATGAATGTGTGTGTATTATTGTGACTAGTAAAAATTCACTTTGTTGAAATTAAAGAATTTTAATAATCGTGGGAGGATAATTTATTTATTTATTTTATTATGTCGATTCAATTATATAAAATTTACTTGCACTTGATGGATCAATATCATCAATATGTATTTACTTTTTAAAAGTCTGAGAGAGTGGTTTCTATTCAACTAGTCAAAATTTAGAAAAACACCCAATAAAAATTCACATTAGAAAGATGTATTATTTATGTATTTATTTATATTTCTTTCTTTTTTTACGCAATACATCATAATTTTATATTTATATTTACTTAGTTTGTTAAATTATTCACAAATCTTCCATATAAAGCCTTCTCCATGTTTAAATTCAAAGATTTGTAAGTTAAAGGCCTTCCTCTTCAGAGCATGTGTACTCTAGTGAGGTATGTATATACAACTAAAAAGACTAAATATTTAAAAAAATAAAACATGCTTAATTTAAGCTTGAGAATTTGTAATGAAATGTCTGACCCCCTCCTAATTATAGTTTTTTATTATTATTAATTATTAAAAAAAAAAACAAAAAAAAAACAACTAATGAATGGAGTATATTTTAAATATTTGCAGGAACATTAAATAATGATTGTCTGTGAGTGATCAATTTGGTGACATGTTCACAAAACCACATGAAGAAAAAGGGACGAAATAGCGAAACTAAAGATTTTTAAATGGGAGTGTGTGTGTGGGGGGACTTGTTAATAATAGCACGACTGGTCATCCATAATAAAATAAAACGAATGAGTCGTGAGGACTTGTCAATCTCAGGTACTCTCATTATTTAAGAGTTGCAGTGTTTGTTCATTGTCATCATCATAAAAAGATTTCTCCCACCAATAATAAAACGAAGAATTTTCTGTTTTGGAAATAAAAATTCCGTTATGATTTGATTTTTGGTTATGCATTTAAAAGAAAGAAAAGAAAAAGTGGGGACAATTAATTTAATAATAATAAATAATAATAATAACTAATAAGCCTATATCCTCTTTTAAATATTTCTGTTAGTTGTTACTGGTGGTGGGAGGATTCATTCACTCAGCAGACACACATTCTATCTAATATATATATATATATATATATATATATGCGTGTGTGTGTTAATAAAATAAGCACACCCTATCTCCCCTCTCGCTTGTAACCATCCATCACAAGAAAATAAAAACGTTTTTATTTTCAGCGTTAAAGCTGAATTAGTAAGTTAGTAAAAAAAGCATCTACTGTTGAGTTGTTACTTCTTAGATTTTAAGCTTCCTTAGTTTAGAGAGAGAGAGATGTGACACTAGGCTGCAAGTGTGGGTCACTCAGTGAGGATCGAACTCACTATATTCAGTCGTTAATTTGATCTAAAGCAAATTTACTAACCATTTTACACATCGAGGTGCCCTTTGAGTACTCTTTACTTTGCGTCATCATTTTTAATTTTATTTTTTATTTATTTTTATTCATTCAGTGTCATGGAAAAAAGATGTTGCTGAACCCTAATATATGCTAAGCTGTAAAAATGTCTAAAAAGTCTTCGTAAAAAAAAAAAAAAAAAAAAAAAGGTTGGGGGAATAAGTTACCAGGATTGACTGACAGACAATTTAGAGATGTAGGCTGAAAAAAAATTATAGGCGAAAAAAAAAATTCCCTTAAAAAAAAATTTACAAAACAATATTATTACTCATTTCTGATGTTTCAAATTATTTTTTTTATTGTCTAAAAATAATAATTTAATAATTTTTGGTCATTTCCTTTTAAAAAATACTAATTTCATAGAATGCTTGTTGTAGCTGGTCTCAAGAGAACAGATAAGTGAATGTATTTATTCACTAGTAGACAGACTACAGAGAAAGATGGATATGTAAAGAAGACAAGAGGTTTGCCGTTTGCGTGTACTTACTGGATGGAGACAGATATGAACACCTTAAAAAAAAAAATGAAATGCACTGCGTGTATGTGTGTGGCAGCAACAGTCAGGCAATAGTGGCGGACGCATTACCCCCCTCTTTTTTTTTTTTTTTTTTTTGACTTAGCTCATTTGTTTGTGGGGATTGTCCTGACACAAGTGTCGGGCACTCGGTGAGCATGGAAGTCGCTGTACTAGGTATTGTCTGTAACACTAGCTTGCTAAACAGTAAACACTATATTTTGTATTTCACTACTGCGTTGTCTGGCACAAGGACACAAATGTGGGTCATTCAGTGAAAATAGTACTAACTACAATAGTAATTATTCTGTTTGACGTCTACTAAAACGTCTTGCTCCATGGCGAAGTGACCTTTTTATTGAGTAGGCATTTATTTGTCTGAACCTACATGGTTGGCCTACTTGAAAGATTTATCATCTATGCAGTCGGTCGCTGGGTGGGAGGCGTGGAAATACTACTCACGGATCTTGAATGAAGGAAAATAAATATCAGTCAAGATTGGTGGGTGGGGAAGATTTTTTTTTATTTTTAATTAAAAAAAATTAACTCGATTTATTGATTTTAAAACTATATATATTTTTTTTTGATATTTAAACTTTAATTTAAATTTTTCTATAAAGCTTTATTTTTTTTATTTTCTTTTTTTTTAAATTAAAAAATTTTGAATTTGAAAAATTATTTTTAAATTTTTTTTTCTTCAGTTTTAAATTTTTATATTTATTTTTATTTTTTCCGGTGTCTATTTTTTTTTTTTTTTTTTTTTTTTTTTTTTTTTTTTAGTGCCGTTTTTCCTTTTTTTTATTTTTATATTTTTAGGCTCTTTTATTAATTTTTAATTTTATTTTAATGTTATTTCTAATAAGGAGCAGACAATAACATAAATAATTTGATTTTTTTTTTTTTTTTAATCAGTACTCTTTCAGTATTGGCCAAGGGCACCTCAACGTGGCGTAATGGTTAGCAGGCTTGTCCTGCTAGAACAATTACAACTGAGTAGTGAGTTCGATCCTCACTGGGTGTCCAATAATTTCGGTCTTGTGCCACATCTAAGCTACACTTAGAAAATCACCTCTCGGTATTGGCCAAGTGCACTGATTAATTAATTTTTATTATTAACTAGTAGACAAATAATAAAAACATGTATAGCAAGGGTTTTCTTTGAATTTATAGATTCTGCTTAAGTACATGAGGGAGTTGCAAAAAAAATAACCTTTGAAGAATAGAATTTTTTTTTTTTTAATTCACAATGTGTGGTAGAATCTATATACATATTAAGTTATACATGTTATATACAGATGTTGGTGTATAAAAAATGAATTTTTTAAATGGAGGCACCCTGCAGTAATGGATAGTGGCTCGGATTGAGGAATTGAAGAGCTGAGTTCGAATCCCAGTGGAGTTTATTATATTTGCTTACATGTAAATACCCTTGGTAAGGGTATGAATCCATCTCTTCTGCTCCCTCGCAGCTATGAGTAAATAGCAGGACAGACTAGGTCCTGTAGCCTTGTGTGGCAACCAGTCTAGGAGAAGGACAATTCTGAATTAAAAAAAACTATAGCCTTAGTGAAGGACATACTATGCTGCTAATGAAAGGAT